CGGGCAATTACCAAGTGGCTTCCATAGTTTGATTCTACAATTGCTGCTGGACGTTTACACGTGTGGTTCAGTCTATAATGTTGGGGAAATCAGTTGCTGGTTTGAGCACCCATCTTGCAGCGTGTACAATTTCCTTCAGTTGATTTTATTCAATTCAAAAGAAATTTTCTGTATGAAAAATTTTAACGAATCCAAGTTTAAATTGGACGAGTACATACGTGTAATCTTCTAGAACAGTCTAATTCCGCATTGAAGATTCATTTCTGCAAGTGATTAAGGGGGGTGAATAAAAGAAAAAATTAAAGGAAACAAAGCACATTTTGCCTGCTCAGCAGCGTACTTTAATTGACTCCAATGTTTCAATTTCTTTGATTATCTTCAAGTAGGGTTTCACACAAGGAACCCCATCATCATCTTCTACCCATCCTTTTTGTGGACTCTGAATTGCTACATTGAATCCAACACCTCCCCTGGAATTCCACCATGGCCAATAAAGGTGAGAGATCGTTTCATGTACCCACCACAAAGAACAGATAAGTTAGCTTATGGGTTGTTTTTCACATTCTTAAAAAGCAGGTAACTTTTTATTATTTTGAAAGTTAGGAATTAGGTTTTCAGCTTTCACGAACTGATCATAATTCAAAATAAAACCCTGATTTGCCCCTCATTCTACAAAGCTTTTGAAAAAACTCTTAAATAAATTCGGTGTTTATTGGAAAATCAAACGCTTCTTAGCCATTGTTATGATGTTGGTGGTCTTTCTTTTTAAAGCTAGGGCCTTTGAATTCAGATTAACAGAAGTTGTATTGGTGTGCTTTTTTATTAAAGTTTGTCTATTTTCTAATTTAATAACATAACAAACGCAGCATAACTCTTAAATAAATAATCTCAAAGTGTCCAATATTACAATTCACTTGCAACCCTTCTAATCTCATAAACTTTCTTCTTACTATGCCTCATCTTATTTCATATTTTCCCACTCCAAAAAGCCAGACCATATAAATACATTAACGAGACTCTGCTGCTATGTAACAAAAGCAGCTCAAAAATTTGGCTAATCACCTAGTACTCTATGAGAATACGATTACTTTAAGTAACTAAATATAATAGGCAATCTATGCCACGTTTGGTTATAGGACTTTAGTTTAATGATAAACTAAAATCAAACTTTTCAACAATTAGGTAAAAGACACCACATAAAGGTATTGTAATACATATATATAAGAAACAATCAATTGACATCATCTAATCTTATGCAGTTAATTTAGTTAAAATTTAATGATTAATAATAGCAATTTTTCAAAATATTAATTATAACTATAATTGATAAAAGAAACTATCAATTGACACGATTTAAAAGTTTACAACAAATTTTACATTATTGATTTAGTCAAAATCTAACTGATGAGATTAATTACAAATACATTCTAAAACATTAATTATAATTGTCTTTTAAAAACATTAATTATAGTTATTTTCTAAAATATAAATTATAGCTATAATTTATATCATTTATTAGATTTTGACTAAATTAATAGTTTAAAATTTAGTGTAAATGTTTTATACTTATTTTAGTATCAATTGATACATTCTTATATTTTATATATTTTTATATATACTCTATTTGGTGCAAAGTATACATCTCACCATACTTATGATCTTATATGGAGCACGAACTCCGTCCTAATTTTTTTAAAGTCTTACCGACGAAGAAATTCTCCAAATAAATTATTTTTTAAAAAAGTTCTTTGTTAAATGATTATGTTTAATTATTAAAAGTATTAAAAGAGAAGGTGATATTGGCTTGGTGAATGTATTTGACCCAGCTTTTGTGCATGATATTTTGGACTAAAACAATTATGTAGATTTAATTCTGCCGACGGTGGATTTGTTTAATTTGTTTCTGTAAAAGAATGTGCTCCATCCTCGTGGATCTTTCACACTGACAACCATATAAAACCATTGTTTAAATTTTAAGTATAATTATTTCTATTGAGATCGGCCGACCATAGCATTAGAGTTTCCACTAAGGTAGATTACATCATCCCACGTTTAAATGTTTATTATCAAATGAGTGACATTACACGTCAGCAGTTACATTATTTATACAAGCGTCGTTTGTTTTCGTTTAAATTCCTGTTAGGGTATTTGGGTTCTCAATTTTTTTTTTTTAAAGAAAGGAGTTTTTAGGAACTTTCTATATAGATTTTTTTTTTTAATTTTTTTTTTTCAAATCTAGTAGAGGGAGTTGGTTTTCATTTTTTCTTTTTTAATAAGTCCAGTTTGTTGGTAGTTTTTAAGAATAATAGTGAGGTTGCTTTCGGTTTTTGATTTGGGTTATTTTTTTGGGTATTTTTCTAACTTCCTAATTTAAAAACTGAAATTATAATAAAAAGAGTTTTTTGAAATACTGGTTTTTACTATTATTTGATTTTAAGTTATTATTTCTTAAAAAATTAAAATTTAAAAATAATTAAAAATATAAAAATATAAAAATTAGAAATATTTATAAACTCTACTGCTGAATAGTATAGAATTATTTACAACTATACTATTAATTACAAGAATATAAAGTTTGGACATTTCTTAGTTTTAATTTATTTACTTGTAATTTAGAGAAAAGTAATTCAAAAGTAAAAAACTCCAAACAAAAAAAATTATTTTTCTTTTATATAATAGAAGATTAAAAATTGTTGAAAATAAACCTCTACAATGTTGATACTTTGTATTATTTTGTAAATATACATAATTTTTATTTTTTTACGTTTACATAAAAATTTTTAGAAAATCAATAAATTGAAAATTAATTTTTTTCAATAAATCAAATGACGTAAATTTTTTTTAATTACAATATTACTGAGAGTTTCATAATTTTTAATAAAAAAATTCAAAAAAATACTTACAAACAAACATCCCATCATTTAATGTGTATGAAATAAGTAATGATAGACTTTTATATTTTATAAAAAAAATCAGATTCAAATTATAAAAAGCGTACTTTTTTAAAAAAAAATTACAATATCTCAAATAATATTAATATTAAATTATAAAATAGATTATAGTACTTATAAGGAAAAAAAATGAAATCTCGTTGTTTTCACGTTTAAGATTCTTAAAGTTTGTCGGAAAAAAAAAGGAAAATTTTGGGTTTTCAATTTTTAATATCTATGCTCTGTCTTCATAAAAATAAAAAATTTGGTAGTGCAGAAAACATGATGCCGAAGGCTTTGAATTTCTGTATTTCTTTAGTATAAAAAGTTGAAATTAAACCCGTAGCATTAAATAGGGATTCATATTTATTTGTTCTAAATTGCCAGGTCATTCCTTCTGTACCTTGCAACCGCAAACAAGGTCGTGGAATGCAGAGAAGAGAAAAGAATGATTATTAAAACAAAAAAAGAAAAAATAAATAAATAAAGTCAAAATCTGATTGGATAGAGTTTGGTTGTTGAAGATTTGGCGCCATAAAGAACGGCGGGAAAGCGAACCGCCCAAAGGCCAATAATAGATAAGATAGAACCTACCAAGGTGTTGGCGAATTCCTATTGGTCCCCCACACCGTCGCACGCATGCGCCACATCACATGCAATGAACAATTCCCACGCCCCGTTTAATTTTCCTATTATTCTATTCATCACACGGTGTTTATGTCTTGCTTCCCTTGATTTGGATGCTAATTAAATTTCAGAATTTTTGTTTGTTTGATGTTTGGGTTGATTTGGTAATTTTTTTTAATTTAAATGTAAAGTGGCTGTAATTTCTAATTTAAAAAATAAAAATACAATAAATAAATTTTTAAAAATTTAGAATAATAAATCAAATTGAAAACAATGAAAAACTTGTCATAACTCAATTTAATTTCTTTATTCTAATTAACATAAAGAATTGAATGAGATCACGGGTCATATTGCGTGGGATCATTTTTTATATCAACTATTATTTCTTTTTTTACATATTTCTTCACTTATTTAATAGTTTAAAATTAATTTTGAAATTTTAAATGTATATTTTTATGAAATCGAACTTAATCTTAATAAATAAATATTTTATTATATTCATTCACACTTATCAAATAAAAAACTTTATGACTAAAATTTGAGCATGCAAACAATATTAGTATGTTTTAATATATTTTAGTCAATATTAATTTTAGGAAAGATTATATAAATAATATATACTTACTCAAGTATGTCATAAAAATAAGAAAAAAAAAGGGATCGATTTCTCAATCCATAGTTTGTTTCTCCAATCAAACCCCAGTATATATTTTAAAGAATTTTTAAGCTTATTTTCCTCCGATGCAATTTCATCGTTCTGAATATTTTATTTGTTCTGTTTTATTTCGAGTAGATTTGAATGATTTGTTTGCGCACTCCTAAATGAAACCATGGAATCACATCACCCAACACAATAAATAAATAAATAAAATAAAATAACTCACTCACCGTCCCACAGCTTCCGCCATCTCATGACGGTGACCGCCTCCCTGATTGAGGACCCACCCCCCCTCTCCCACCACCATCTCACGACGGCGACAACCTCCCTGATTCAGAACCACCCATCCCCTCTCTCTCGCAAGTACCGGCTTCTGAGCGAGTCCTCTATCTTATCTCTTCTTTATCAGCTTGTTTGGCAACTGGCCGTACGCCATCCATCCTAGCTTCAATTTCTTTTATCTTGCGCCTCTAATTCCACCCCCACCTCTTTTTGTTTCTTCAACCACTAAAAAAACTAACGCTTAATCGGTTATACACCAATTCTTGCCAGGAAAATATAAAAGAACAAAAGGAAAATAGGAGGTGAGCAAGTAATATGAAGGAAACAAAGTCCATATAAGCAAGTTCTATCGCCGTTTAACCTCTATGCTGTTACATCTATATATCGATATAATCTATGAAAGTGATCATCAATATCCAAACACCCATAATCCCTTCGGATCATGGTGGCATCAAACCAAACCCCCCTGTTCTCTCCACTTCTTGTCTTGTTTAATCGGAACTCTAGTCGCGGTCGGAATCTTCGGGGTCCGGGAACTCGTTCAAGTCTGGTTTGACTGAGACCCGCTTCGAATCGGGTGCTGGCGCCGAGGATGCGCGGCGCAACGCGTTCTCAAGGGCGTCGACCCTGGCGCCGACTTCGGTGGCTCGCTTCCGAATCGCAGCAGCCGACATGTCCCGAACTTCGTCTTCTTCAACGATGTATTCGGGGAAGTTGAGCCGCGCCGAGGGCCCCCGGAGGTAGAACACGGCGGTGTCGTAGGCGCGGGCGGCCGCCACGGGGGAGGAGTAGGAGCCAAGCCAGATCCTGGAACGCTTGTTGGGCTCTCGAATCTCAGCCACCCACTTTCCCACACTCCTCATCCTTATCCCTCTATAGGGCTTCTCCTTCTGGAGCTGCCTCTGCTTTCGCTTCTCTCCAACTTCCATTAGAATTATGTTTTTCTTTTCTTCACAGGAGGAATAATAGTCAGTCGCAAACCTAAAAGGCGAGAAGAGAAGAAGATTCTAACTGTCCCAGAAAACGCTTCTCTCGTGCCCGGCTCTTGTATATATATGCGCGCGTGTACATAAATCAATGCGATACATCCAATGATCACCCATTTGCGAATACACCCCGAACTTTTCTATTTTCAGAATTAAGTCACTGACTATAAATATTATGTAATAAGTCCAGTAACTATTTTATCGTCAAAAAATTTAAATTCTTTAAATAAAATTTAGTTTTGCTTCACTAAAATTATGAAAATTAGTGTTAGAAAAGGGACAAGTGAAAAAACACTGCGCATATTTCTCTGACATTAGACAAAACTAAGCCACAAAATATTTATTTTGATTGCTCAATTAAGTTTTTCAAGCGGGCTTGTTGAAATAATTTTAGAGCTTAATTTTTAAAAAATTAAAACGTTATGGGCCTGTTTGTAAGGTAATAATAGTTCAGGGGTGTGTTTATGATTTTCTTGAATTAATAGACGCAATGTATGAGTGGGTGGAGATGTATACATATTGAAGAAGGGAGGAGGGGGTGAGAGAGGAATGCATCGGGAGCACGCATTGGTTGGGGTGTCTTACTTGGCTGCTAGTCTGTCGTCTGGGTATGGCCGCCACGTTGATCTTCCTTAAAGGTAAGTCCAAAATTGGCCGACATAATCCATCGGTCCCGTCTCTCCTCTCTCTCTCTCTCTCTCTCTCTCTCTCTAAACCGTGCAGTATTATGTTACACGTGGCGGTGTGTGGTGGGCGGTGACGGATGTTCGGCTGTGGTTCCGCCTCTCCTACGGAAACACGGTTCACGGACCTCTCGCTTGAGTTATGATGCTAAGGTTCTGTTTGCCAAACGTAAATTCTTTTCGGAATTATTAAATTATAATACATAGTTAATTAATGGAGTTGGGGCATTTGTTTATTTCTGGCGGAGGTGGTGATAATGATGATTTTGGGGAGGAGGGGATGCAGCCCTGTTGGCAATTTGACTGGAAACTTTTTCAGCAAGAAATTAATTTGGGAGATTCATGTCAAACTTTAAACAAAATTAAAAAATAAATAGTTTAATTCAGGATTTTTACGTAACAAAGAATATGTTGCAGCCACATGTTTTATAAGCTTAATAAATTATATATGAAAATGACAAAAACAATATTTTCAAATCTAGAAAAACTTATAAACTAAAATACCGCCTTGACAAAATAAATGAGCTTATAAAATCATTTTCAATAAATAAAGGTTTAAAATATTGAGAATTATATTTATTTTTTTAGTGTGATATTATTTTTAGAAATGTCTATTTTTGAGAGAGTTTTAATTATTTTATGAGAAGAGAGTATAGAGTGTATAGTACTCTCTCTTATAATTCAATATCCTTACTTTACTTTATTCGACATGAGATTTGTAACATTATTTTTCACTTAAACTTTTGATATTCTCGTTAAGGTGAAGTACATAATTTTTCACTATCTTACTTATCTTTATAAAATCACTAAAAATGATAACATATGAGTCACAACATCACCATATTAATCACTCAAAATTAGTTCTAATCTTATTTATTACAAACTTATTACTTTTTCTTTAAATAGATGGATTATATATATACATATATATTAAGATGTAGAATTAATATTATTTTTTTCACTATGTCCCATGTTTATCCGTGGGCAGGGAATGAGGGGGATAAGGGTGGGTTGGCGGTGATTGAGAGGGAGGTTTGAATAACTTTCGGTCCACGCAAGATAGAATCAGAGGAAATGGGAATTGGGGTGGATTTAATACCCAGTTTGGCTTCAGGTCAACTTAATCTCTTCTGTCTTTTCTAATTATATATTTTTCCGTAAGGGAACGCATCCAATCGCAACCCATTTATTTAAACAAAAATTGTTAATTGGATAGATTTATCTTTATTGTCCTTCTTTAATTTATTTTTGGGGATTGGAATTTGAATTCAAAATTTTAGATTCAATCCCCTCAAATTTGGGATGTTTATAAATCATAGAAATAAAAAATTAAATATTTAAATATTATTGTACTTTCCCTGTACGTGAAAATTAGGATGGAAAATATTTATTTTTTATGATAATTAGTTTTTCAAAAATAGAAAAGATAAATTTGATTACAAGGCTAATGTGGTTAGGAAGGATGAGAATGACATTTTCTTAAAAATATATCATTAGAAAAAGAATTTAGAAAAAAGACAACCAAACAAGCAAACGAAAGCTAATAATTTGCGAACATTACTTGACGAAGGAACGAATTATTTTTCTCTTAATCAGGGACCATGGTTATCGGAATAAGATATTTAAATGTTAATCACATGCATGCATACGAATCCCTGTCCACACAAACTGATTGAGTTGAGGGGTCATTCCAAACACTTAGTTTGCTTGTTTGAATTTTTCAGCTTATAATTTTTAAAAATGTTTTCATTTTTTAAATTTTTAATTAATAAAAAAATAGGTAAAATGTTCTTTACCCTTTTAAAATATTATGATGGTAATATTACTTACCTCCTCAAGTTTACAATCATAATTAAAATTAATTAATGTAATTAATATATTCATTTGTATTACTATAATACCTTTTATAATAATATAAGATTAATTTCATTAAAAGTAAAAGAAGGCCTTTGTAATATAAGATTAATTTTGTGAAAATTGTCATTTATTTTTTTTATTATAATGAAAATTGTTATTTTATATGTTAATTGAGAGATAAATTTTAAATAAAATATATTTTTTATATAATAAAAATTGTTATTTTACAGATATTTGTTAAATTATAAATATGTGAATGACGCAAGGTGAGAGGTTAATTTCATGAAATTCTTTTTTATTTTTTATTTTTGGTTAGAATGAAAGTTTGTTATTTTGGAACTTAGATAATGGGTAAATTTTTTAATTAATTGTAACTTTTTAATTAAAATGAAGGCTATTATTAAGATAACAGATTAATTTTATTTTTTTATTATAACGATGGCTTTTATTTTATAGATAATTTTTGTTAAATTATGAAAAATATGAACAGTGTAGATTTGAAAATATTGTGATAGTATCGGCGAATATATTAATTTGTTAATTAATTTTAATTATAATTATATATTTAAAGAGATACAATATTATATTTTATATTTTAAAAATAACTATTATCATCATAATTTTTTAAAAAGGTAAATTATACCTTAAAAAATATATAATATTCTAATTTTTAAATTTAAATCAATCCAAAACCGAATATGTCCTTCCACTCTGTTTCTGATGATTAGAGGGCCGTCGTATTGCAATCCCCCTCGGAATGTTTCGTAGTGCGTGCGCGTGCGTGAGAGAGAGAGAGAGAGAGAGAGAGAGAGGTGGGGGTGTTTGGACGAGTGGGCAACTTGGGACACCTGTCGGCAACTAAACTCCATAAAAATACAAATACAAGAAAATATTATAAATATTGGTCGGTACTTGGCGTCCAAATAGCAGTAGCGTCTATTGATGCAAAACAAGGGGAAGTTTTTATAATATTTAAATCTTTCAAAATTTTTTATATTTAAATTTTTTAACTTTAATTTATTAATTATATTAATTTTAATTATTTTAACCTTTTAATTTATTGTTTATAATTTAAATTTATTTAATTAATTTAATAAAATTTTATTAAAATTCAAATTCAAATATTTAGTCAATCAAATTACTTAATTTTTTATTTGTTGAATTTATTTTGAATTATAAATTAAATATTTTAAAAAAATTCAAATCTTAATATTTAAATTTATAAAAAATTATATTAAATTTAATTCAAATATTTTAATAATTTAATATTAAATAAATGCGAATTAAAATATAAGTACAGAAAGTTGTAATCACACAACGGAGTAAAGATAAAAGGGGAATGATGTGAATGTTATTATTCTTTATCAACAATTTCTATTTACAAGAAAATTCAATTAAAATAAAATTTGTGGTATAAATTTTATATGAGCTTGGGTCAACTTGACTACCCATTAATCTATCGTTACATCATATCAACTGATTGCGGACCTAGTTAGAAAATCCCACGAAAATCTGGACCCCGCCAACATAACCCGTTCGGATCAGTTGAGTGGGTCTATTTCAACCGATCACTCCTTATTGCGGATTTCACCCGACAAAGCATGAACCTACGGGCATCTTCTAGGCCTAGCAACTTAAAAGCTCGTTAACGTTGAACAAGCCACGAAACAACACACTCTTGTCCCCTCCAGATTGGGTCTTTTCATTTTTCAATTTAGACCGTTGATTTTTTTATTAATTATTTAAATTTATTTCTTTTTAAAACTTTTCAAAAACTTAAGTATTTTTAAATTAATTATAATAAATAAAAATGGATAAGACGAATTAGCCCCCTCCAAAAAACAAAGAGAGAAAAATCTGACGGTCTCATCTGAAGCTTTTGATGGAGGCTGTGGGTTGGGGTCCCAAACGGGTCCGCACGGCAAGCGCCAGTTCGTAGAAAACAACAAAACTGGTGAGCTCATGCTGCTCACCTATTTAATTGTGTAGTGGGTCAATGATTAAGATAAAACTTTATCAAATGAAAATGACACGAATTATTATTACTAACCCTAGTCAAGTGAAGTAAACTCTGCTCTGGTGCATGTAATCCAAGGAGGAGAGCAGTGCGAGCATCATGTCAAGACCCAGATATTTTCTTGAGAGGTCAGTAGAAAAGCCATGTCCAGCACGCGCCAAACTGCCCCAGCTTATCCTACTTCCGAACTCAAGTTTGATATCGACTCCCCACTTTTGACGATGGGTTTGAACATTTAGAGAAATTTATTAGACTGACCGCAACACTTTAGTTCTGCGTTCCATGTTAGACATTTACCCAGTGAATTCGTCACATTAATATCTATTAAATTAAATTAGTATTACAATTAATTTTGATACTTATTTAATTATATATTAAAATATCTA